GTTTTATATGACCATGGGGAAGATGATGAAAAGTATATGAGTTAGTAAAGAAAAGGAACCATACTTAGATGCAAAAGAGGTGTGGTATGTGAATGAATGTGTTTGAATGAATGTCAAATAACATAATTGGTATTAAATGGATCATTCCTTACTGAGCAATTAGCGCTCACCCTTTCATGTTTGAATGTTTTACAAGTAATTCAGAAGCGAGGGATGCTGGAGACGGCAAGGCTATGCATGAGGGGAGATAATTTATTGTCATCCTGACGTTTTATCTTGATGTAAATAATGTAAATGACAAATGTTTTTTAAACACCTTTTTGAAGCTTCCACCACATGAATGAAAATAGCATTAATATGTTTTGATTGATTGATGCTCAAATGAATTTAAGTTTTTATTTTTATTTTTGAATGTGCAAATTTTGATCCTACGATACATCTTATAGTAATGTTTCGGACATTATTATCATTCTTGCACAGGTTTTCTAAATACAACTCGTTCCTAAGACATGAATTCTCTAGATTCTCATAAAGGGATATTCAAAGGGTACTTGACTGGGGAGCGGTTTTACATGCTTAGACTGATATCTCATGTGCGTTAAGCACATGCAGAAGATATTAATCGGATCCAAAGGAGCAATGTGATGATATGTACTTAGATTGATCTCTTATGTGCATTCTGCACTTATAGAAGATATCAGTCAGATCTAAGTGAATGACACTGGATGAGTGTCAATGGACATCCTTAAATACCTAAAATGGATTAAGGATATGTTCTTGGATCATGGAGAGGAAGATGGGCTTACTATAAAAGGATACAGTGATGCTATTTTCCAAACAGATAAAGATGATTTTCGCTTGAAATTTTGTCTCAATAAAGCTGTAGTGAGCTCGAATCAGAGTACTAGAGCGGATTCATCAACTGACGCTAAGTATATCGCATTATTTAATGCAGCCATGTATGCGGTTTGGATCAAGAAGTTCATTACTGAACTTGATGTGGTTCCAAGCATTGCTGATCCAGTAAAGTTCTACTGCGATAGCAATTGAGCTATTGTTGTGGCTAAGGAATCACGGTCTCACCAGTAATCCAACCACTAACTTAGTTGATTCAATCTGATCTATGAGATCGATCAGAAAGCAAATGTGTAGATTTGCAGAATACCTACTAACCCATTGTTGAAGTTTCTGTTGCATCAGAATCATGATGGGCACTTAGGTCATTCGATGTCAAATACATGGATGATTGGCTATGGTGCAAGTGGGAGATTGTTGGAGTAGGTGCCCTAGAGCCAGTCAATTATTGTAGAATTGACTCTTTGTAATAATGTTTATTGATCAATAAAAGCCATTATCTACTAGATCATGTAAATCATAGTTGTATGTATTGATATATGTAACGCCCACATGGAGGTACGTAATTTAATTTATGCTCTTATACCTTTAGTTGATTTTTGCTAAAGTTATTTTGAGAAAATGTGAAGAAAATGCCTTAAACTTGCATTAAGGGTAAAATGGTCTTTTCACTCAAAATTAGTTGAAAAAGTGGGGAGTGAAAAGAGATAGAATTGTGGAGAATGCAATAAAAATGAGGGCATTATGGTAATTGACTAAGGAACATAGATGGAATTTTAAAGAAAGTGCAAGGGCAAAATGGGAAACTAATATATATTTTTATGTTATATCAAGGATTGAAGAGTGAAACCCTAGCCACTCTTCAACCCATTTTCACACCACTTCTCCTCCAAATCCTCTCAATTTCTTAACTTCTTTTTCAAAAGAATTCATAGATTTTGGGTATTTTTTAATGGATTTTCAATCCAAAGCAACTTTAGGTAAGATCCTTGCACTAAGAAGTGATTTTTCATTTTTAAAGTGCTGAATTTTGATGGTTTGTGCTCATAGGATTCAAGAAGAAGAGAGTTTGATCAAAGAAGATTCAAAAGGGGTTGGATTGCTCATATCAAGGTAAGTAAATCCCACCCAAGTTATGATTTGAGAAATCAAGTGTGTAGAGATTTTACATACATGTATATGCTTATGATTTGAGAATTGTTGATGAAATTGATGAATTATTGATGAGTTTGGTGATTATTGATGAAGAGAATTTAGTCATGAGAAGTGGTTCTGGTTGTATGATGATTACTTGAAGTTTGGTTGAAGTTAGAAAGAGTCGAGTAGAATTTTTGGGAGTGTATTGTTTTGGATAGGTTTAGTAATTGTTTAAGGGAGTTTTACTCCAAATATTGGTGGCTTGGGAAATAGATAGAATTATAGTCAAATTAGAGTTTGATTATGCATGCAATATGTTTGATGAAATGTCCAAGAGAAGTGTATGCATGGGTTTTATTCATTTATGAATTGATATGAGTTTGTAGATGGTAGAGAGAAACTTATTTTTATGCTACATGGCATCCTTGCATTTAAACATTAGCATTTAGAAAGAATTATAAGCATGAAACCATCTACATACATACATCTTCATAAGAGCATGAAAAAGCACTAAAATATGGTAAAGAGAAAATAGAAAGAAGTGAGAATATTAAAGATATTCAAATCTGAAATTTTAGTTAAAGAAGTGTGAAAAGATAAAAAGAAGAGAAGGTTGTTGCGATGGGGAGCCCGTGAGTGACAGAGTCCCACATGCACGCCGCCTTTAGTGAGCAGCCTCAGAATTCAGAAAGAAGAATTGTACAGTCCGTTAAAAGTGCGTGTAGATGAGGACTGTACCCAGAATTAGAGAATTCACTCACACGGCCAAGGATCAAAATCCATGCCTCAACCGAGTCCGATCGGCAAGAAAATAAATAATATAGAGAAAAGAAATAAAGAATAAGAAACATAATAAGAAAACAGAATAAGAAAAATAGAAAAGAAAATGCATAATCTATGCATTTGTGCATTTGCATCATAAATATGCATAATACCATGCTCATTAACGTGAGTAGGGAAAAATTAGAAAATTGAGAGAAAAACAGTGAGCAAACAGAGAAAGGATGAGAAAGAATAGAGAAAGAACAGAGAGAAGAACGGAGAAAGAATAAATAATACTCAGGAAATGAATTGTAAGGAAAGAAAATTCAGGATTTAATCAATGGAGAGAGAAGGGTAGCATAGCGGGTTTGCTTACTGAGCAATTAGTGCTCACTCCGGTGTTTTCAATGTTTTTGCAGGTAATAGGTGAGTGGCGGTCACTCGGAATGTCACGCAGTGGAAGGGATTGGGCTACACTGTCAAGTTGCTATTTTGAGTATATTTTGTAAATATTTGTATATAAAGAAAAATTAAATATGGGCCCATACTTTATTACTCATTTATATGTGTATTTTCTTATATATATTTTTAATGAGTTTTATTAATTATTTTAGGAGTATACTATCTAGAAAGAAAGTATTATAATATATGTCCTTAGGATGATAGAACCATGACAAGGGTATCAAGTGTTTCAAATCTTGATAGTGAGAACCCTATAAGCACATATGGTGGCCATTCTAGAAATGTCCGTAGCCCCAGTATTATTCTGGCCAAGGACACAGATAGTACGGTAAGGCTGTCATAGTGTTGAATGACCTTGTCGAAAGGCAGTGACTAATCTCACCTGTCAAGGTTGTTTGCTGACAACCTGGTGCAACACATGGGTGCTTACTATAGGCAAGTTCACCGGACTGACCCACCAAAGGAGTCCATATAGATGGTAACCCCTGTGTCTATGGAACAAATCCTCTAACGAATGGTGGTGCATGTGATCCTTATACTTGAGATCACTGAAGCATCTTGTGCACTGATTGGTGTAGTTTGAACTAGCCCAACACAATTCTATTCAGAGTTGTCAATACGGTAGTGATTGGCTGCATCGAGGAGTGTATCAAGACTATGGTAGATCGATAGAGAATTCATCACTTCCGAGTATGGGAGAAGTTATCTCATGGCGCAATTTAGTTAATGACAATGACAGTAAATCTGTGATCATAGTGGGATTAAGTTGTTGCTCAATCTAATTTATTATTCCGGTCGTTGGTCTAGTAACTGAATATAAATATATCAAGGATAACTGAGGTTGACACTATTTCTATGCCTTGGTCTCGATGAGATAACAGATGATGAAAGGTTTTGATTACACGGTAACCATTTCGTTAACAGATAGTTATTTGGCTGAATCCGAATCTATCGAGTGGCCATGATGCCTTGCTAGGGGCCGATCTTAGTCTGTGTGTATTGAGACGATTGATTGGTGTCAATGTGATACTACTCACTGTCGGTATGATGAGGAGCCTACGGGTCACACACTAAAGAGACAGTTTAAGGATGGTTAACTATGGAAGGGTATTTTCATCTTTTGGATGAAAGGGCATATTGATAATTTTGCTATGTAATTAAATTTACTAAGGTTGTAGCTTGTGTCCAATTTTGTTGGAATAATTAAGCAAAATTACGAGTTTAATTATTGAAGTTAATATCAATATTTAATTAAATAATTAAACAGGGACCTATGAGCGATTCCACCTAAGTTTGGGTTGTTGCTAAACTTTGGGGGTAGAATTGATATTTGGCTTCTCTATATGAAGAAAAGCAAAATAGGTTTTCAGGGATTCTCATTCATTTTGTCCGTGGGAGTGAATTTGAGAGAGAAATATTTTCTCTTCTCTTCTTTTCTTTTTCAATCTTTCTTCCAAACCTTGAAACCTTAAAGTCAAGGATTGGTTCTAGCAAAACCAATCTTTGGTCTCTGTTGTATTGTCTTCATGTGGAAAACATGAGTTCGGTCCTATACTTGGATCGGTAGCGAGATCGCGTTCAGAGATATTGACAGAGCCTCTAAACGTTGGTATGATCTGATCCTTGTTTGGTTTTATGTTATTTCAATTTAAGCATGTAAAATATATACATATCAGACCCTGATCTTGGGTTATTCAGAGTAATCGACGGGAAAAAATTTTGTTTTCCTCTATGTTTACCCCGTCGATTTACTTACAGTTAATGAAGGCTATATTCAAGTCAAGATGATGAAGGGCTCAAGTTCAAGCAAGTATGAGGTAGGTGAAGTTATTTGGGTAGCCAAAGATGCTATTCTCTCGGGCTGTTTTATTGGTAATCAAGAAGAGAGTGTGAAGTTGTGTGATGGGAAGGAAAAGGCTCTTATTTCTTCTATGCACCTTATGGACAGCTGTGTTAGTGGGGTGGATAAATCGGGTAAGGGGAATGAACCTCTTAGCAATAGTTCTCTTGCTATGGAAAGTGGGGTGAGTAAAATTGAAGTGTCGGTTGAACCAAAGGCTTCTTCTAATAGCTTCGAAGATAAACCTGTTGGTGTCGGGAAGAGGGGTGTGTGGAGTAATATTCTTTTTTTCAAAAAGGGCTAAGGTTTCTTTTGAGTTTATCAACCCAAAATTGAGCAATGAGGGTGCCAATCTTAGAGTAACTATTTCAACCGAAGTTACGGTTGAAGGAGTTGATAAGTGGAACAATTGCATTGTTGGTTTTTTCCTTGGAAAAAGATGTTTTACTTTATTGTTAAGAATTTTGTAGACAAGAATTGGAAGCGGTTTAGTGTTGTGGAGGTGATTTCCTTTGGGCATGGGGGATGCATTTTCAAGTTCTTGGATGAGCGGACAAAATTGGAGGTGTTGGAGAGTGGTCCATGCGTTATAGGAGGTCAGCTATTATTCTTGAAGCAATGGTGTCCAAACTTGATCTCGGGTATGAATGGAGTGACTAGAGTGCCCATTTGGGCAAAATTCCATGGAGTTCCCCTTGAGTATTGGACCCCTAAGGGTTTGAGTCACATTGCAAGTGTTGTGGGAGTGCCCCTATACATGGATATAATAACCAAATATGGTGCAAGGCTTGATTTTGCTAAGGTTTGTCTAGAGATGGATTCTTCTTCGGATTTTAAGGAGTCCTTTGAGTTAAAGTTACCAAATGGGGAGATAGCTAGTATAAAGGTGGAGTATTCGTGGAAACCCTTTACTTGTGCATGGTGCAAAACCTTTGGGCATGCCTAAAGAATTTTTCAATTAGCTCCTAAGGAAACCGACCCTTTGCTACCCAAAAAGCCGACTACTTCTCATGTGGAAGAACGGAAACAAAATGCCACTGAGAAGAATATAAGTGGTCCCTGAGAAGTGAGTAAGGAGAGTTGTGTGGGTGTGAACCATTTTGCGGTGCTTTTCAAAAAGGGTGAGGAAATGAGTAATGTGGCCAATGAGGGAGAGAGGATTGGTGTTAATGGTATTGAGGTTGGGCTAGAGAGTGAAAATGAGGGTGGTGCAACGGCTTTGGGTAAGGAAGCCATGAATGCTAATGATGATGAGAAGGGAAAAAGAGATGTAGATGATGGGTGTGGTACTAATATGGATGGAATGTGTAAAATAGGTGAGAGAAACATTGAGAAGGGGAGCATGGAAATTCGAAGGGATATAAGTCATGAGGGGGATATAGACCATGGGGAACTCACACCTCCTAGAGAAGTCAAATTGGAAAACATACTCTTTATAAATGCATTACTAATATCATTGCAACTAGAATTAAGAGTTGCTTGCCTCTTTTTATCTATCGAGCCCAAGCTACTTTTATTGGGGATCGAAGGATTGGGGATAATATTCGTTTGTATCAAGAGCTGGTTCATCACTACAGTAGACCTTTGGCCAAGGAGAAAAGATGTACTTTGAAGATTGATTTGATGAAGGCCTATGATTTAGTTAATTGGGAGTTTCTTATCCAAGTCCTCAAGCTTTTTGGTTTCCCTAGCACTTTAATTAATTGGATTGAGTAATGTATTACTTCTCCCAAGTTTTTAGCAGTTATTAATGGTGAGCTTGTGGGTTTCTTTGGAAGTTCTAAAGCCTAAAACAAGGGGATCCCCTCTCCCCCTATCTTTTTGTTATTGTGATGGAGGTTCATTCTCGGTTATTAAATCAAGTGGCGGTAAACCCAACTTTCAAGTTCCATTGGAGATGCAAAAAATTGGAGCTGACTCACTTTTGCTTTGCAAATGATCTTATGCTTTTTGGCAAAGCTAATGGTAATTCCTTATTCCTCCTCATTAATATTTTATGTACTTTTGAATAATGGTTGGGCTTGAAAGCTAATCCGAGAAAAAGCTATATCTTCCTTTCCGGGTGATTTGTGATGAGAAAAGAGAGTTGTTGAGAGATGTTGGCTTTACCTAGGGAAAACTTCCATAAGATATCTAAGAATTCCCCTTCTTACCTCTAAGTTAGCCTATGGGGAATGCTCCCCCTTTTAGATAAAATTTTGGCAAGAATCTCCTCTTGGAAAAGTAGGTTTTTACCCTATGCGAGGAGGGCTATCCTTATTAAGTCCATTCTTTGGAGTTTTCAAATCTATTGGGCTTCCCTTTCTTCCTTCCAAAGTCCATAAAGAAATTGATGCTCACTTAAGGGCCTTTTTTTGGTTCGGGGTTGATTTGAAAAGACAAAAGGCTAGAATATCTCGGGATGAAATTTGTGTGCCTATAAATCAAGGTGGTCTTGGCTTTGTGAAATCTAAGGAGTGGAATATTGCGGCTACTCAAAAGCATATTTGGAACCTTTGCAACCATAGAAAACATAATGTTTGGGTTCAATGGGTTCGGGTTTATCTCTTGAGGAATAGGAGTTTATGGGAAATCAAAACGCCCAATGATTGCACTTGGTCATGGAAACATTCTCAATCTTAGGAATTTCGCTAGGGTAAAAATTAAAAGCATGATTGGGAATGGTAAAACTACTTCTCTTTGGTTTGATGATTGGCACCCCAAGGGCCCTTTGATTTGTAAGTATGGAAATAGAATTATGTCCGATGTAGGATTCCCAAAGATGCCATGGTGAGTGTTGTGATTGATGGTTGTAATTTGATGTGGCCGGTTGCAAATTCTTGGGATCTTATGGATATGAGGAATTCATTAAATTTTTCTCCTTCCAATGATGATGATACAGTGGTTTGGACTCCTTCGCCCTCGAGTATGTTCTCTAACAAATTGGCTTTGGAGGAAATTAGAGGGAGAAGACCAATGGTTGATTGGAGGGATTTGGTGTGGTTTCAGAAAGCCATTCCTAAACACTCAATGATCTTGTGGATGGCAATCAAAGGAAGACTCCCTACAAAGGAAAAACTATTGAGGCATGGGATTATTTCTTAAGCTAATTGTTGCTTTTGTAATTTTGGTATGGAAAATCTTGATCATCGCTTCTTTAATTGCTCTTTCACTAAAACCATTTGGTGTAATATAATCAAGCTTTGTTAGATATGGGTTATTCTACTAAAACTTGGCATGATTGTATACACCACTTGACAATGAGATGGAAAGGTAAAAAAAACTGATCAAATACATGATTGGCAAACTTTGTTTGGGGACTATGGTCTATTGGGTTTGGAGGGAAAAAAATAGTAGAATGTTTGGGAATGAGTGTCAAGATGCCCAAACTATCATCGATACTATCAAATGTGTGGTGAGAGATAAAGCAATGGACATCAAGAACTTCAAAGCCTCCAATAGCATCATGAAATTGGTGGATTTTTGGGGCCTTCCAAAAACCATTTTCAAAGCCATTTCCCATCATTCTATCCCCATTGGTGATTTGAGAAGGACGAATGATGCTTCTTAAAGCTTGGATGTGGTTGGTTTCCTCATTGATGGGTGAAGACTTGTTCTTGTTTATTGGTTGTATTTTCTTTATTTATCCCGATTGTTATTGCTATTTTTTGTTTGTTTACCTAACCCAGTGGGTGTCCTGCGGTTCGCTGAGTTCCTTTGCAAAAAGTTTTGTATACTCCTCTTGTATCCTTATCTTTCTTGGTAAGATTAAGATAGGGCCACAAGACGATTTTTTTTTTGCCATAAATCGGCTTGCTTTCTTTTGTTCCCTATCTCTCGACATGTCCTGATATAGGCTGATCGCCTTTTATTAGGCCTATGTATATTTTTTCCCTTTTTTTTTAATAAATTTATTTACTTAACCAAAAAAAAAAAAAAATGTAGAAGTATTCAATGCATATCCATTGTAATAACTAATGGCAAGTAAAAGGGTGGGTTAGGGAGATATTGTATTTTTTTTTCATTTACTTCAATTTTTATAAATTAATTAGTTACTTCAATATATATGCAGATATATCAAGCATCTTGTTATATTTCATATATTATTATATAATAAAATACAATGTTATAATATACAATACTATACTTAATACAACGTACTAAACATGGCTCACATGTCAATGGAATTGACTATTGAGGAGACAAGTATGCACACCCAATTGGTTTATTAGAGATAAATTTAAGTGATTGAGTCAGATTGTTTGTACAAAAATGAAGATGTGCCAATTATTTTAATATTTATTATTTGAATAAAATATATTCTATTATTCTCCTTAACTGGTTCCTTCAATTATTTAAACTTTATTCATTAAATTTTTAATTAATTAAATAATAATAAAATAAGCTGATGTGGGCTACTATTGTTAAAGTTGTTAATGTTTTGATTTGTTTTAAGTAGTTTGTTACTGATTTGTTTGTATTCCCTATTAATAAGGGACGTGCTATTTAGTTTGATCTATTCTTTAGTCATTGACTACGTCTTTAGGATTGATAAACGTGGGTTGCATTCAGTTCTGTTTTAGTTATCTTTGTAAGGCTATTTATAAGCCAATAAGTCTTTGTTCAAGGAATAAGATAATTCTCCCGATTCTTGCTTTCAATACACAAGTCTCTTAACATTTGGTATCAGAGCTCCATCACTAGGCCTGACCGAAACTTGAGAAGCAGTAGTCTTCTAAGCATGTAGTTGTAAAGATGGCAACTGAAAGTAGCTTTGTGCAACTAGCAATTCCAAAGCTTGATGGACACTATGATCACTGGTGTATGCTCATGGAGAATTTTCTGCGCTCGAAGGAATATTGGAGTTTGATAGAGCAAGGGATCCCTACAGCAGAAGCAAGGGCAGAACTCACTGAAGGTCAGAAGAAGATGATTGACGATGCAAAACTGAAAGATCTGAAGACTAAGAATTATCTCTTCCAAGCCATTGATCGATCAGTCTTAGAGACCATTCTGAACAAGGATACAGCAAAGAGCATTTGAGACTCCTTGAAGCAAAAGTACCAAGGGATGGCACGGATGCAACGTGCACAACAACAAGCTCTTCGAAAGGAATTTGAGGTGCTCAACATGAAGGTAGGGGAATCTGTGAATGAGTACTTTGCTTGAACCCTTACTATAGCCAACAAGATGAGGGTTCATGGTGAGAAGATGGAGGATATTGTGGTCATTGAAAAGATTCTGAGATCTATGACTCATAAATTCGACTATGTTGTGTGCTCTATTGAGTAGTCTAATGATCTAGACACCTTATCCATTGATGTGCTACAAAGCAGTCTTCTAGTGCATGAACAACGCATGAATGGCCATGTTGTGGAAGAACAAGCATTGAAGGTTACTTACGAAGATCAATCAAGAGAAAGACGACGAGGTCGTGGTAGATTTAGAGGAAGAGGACAAGGGAGAGGCAGACAAAGCTTGACAAGTCTACCACTGAGTGCTACTATTGCCATAAGCTTGGACATTTTCAATATGAATGTCCAAACAAGGAGACAGAGACAAAGGCATACTATGCAGAAGCTAGTGAAGAAATGTTGTTAATGGCATGTGTAGATGTCGAGGAAGCTAGTAAAGAGGAGTTATGGTTTCTTGACTCATGTTGCAGCAACCATATGTGTGGCAAGAAGGAGCTTTTCTCTAGGCTTGATGAAATTTTCAGCACTTCTGTAAAGTTGGGAGACAATTCAAGCATGGTTGTGATAGGAAAAGGAAATACACGAATGCTGGTGAATGGAATTATGCAGGTCATCACTGAGGTGTTTTATGTTTCAGGATTGAAGAATAATTTGCCAAGTGTGGGACAGCTGCAAGAGAAGCGGCTTACAATTCTCATACAACTTGGGAAATGTAAGATTTATCATCCTGAAAGAGGATTAATCATGGTGACTACAATGTCCTCAAACAGAATGTTCATCTTGCCTACTCAGAAATAGCTAAGAGAAGAAATATGCTTTTCTTCTCTGATCAAACTCGGTTTTGGCACTTTAGATATGGACATTTAAGCTTCAATGGCTTGAAAACTCTTCAGCAAAAAGGAATGGTGAATGGACTGCCACAATTTCAAGCTCCTTCGAAGGTATGTGAAGACTGTTTGGTAGGAAAACAACGAAGAGATCCATTTCCAAAAGAAAGCACATGGAGGGCTTCTCAAATTCTTGAACTAGTGCATGCCGACATCTGTGGACCAGTCAACCCCACTTCAAATAACAAGAAAAGGTACCTGTCACTTTCATTGATGATTTTAGCCGCAAAACTTGGGTTTATTTCTCAGTAGAGAAGTCAAAAGCTTTCATCACTTTAAAGAATTATAAGAGTCGTGTTGAGAAAGAAACTAGTTCATATATAAGATGCCTTCGCACTGATCGTGGAGGTGAATTCACATCACACGAGTTCACAGATTTTTGTAAGGAAAATGGCATACGTAGACAACTGATAGCTGCATATACTCCACTACAGAACGGTATTGTAGAGAGAAAGAACCAAACTATTATGAATATGGTTCGAAGCATGCTTTTAGGAAGAAAGATTCCAAAAACTTTCTGGCCTAAAGCAGTCAATTGGGCTGTCTATGTTCTGAATAGAAGTCCAATTGAAATAATAATAATAATAATTAAAATATAAATAGGACTATTTGGGTTGGTGCCCAAGCCTATTCCATTATGGAATAGGTGTGCAACACTTTGTGAATTAAAAAAACAATTCATTCATTCACATTTAATTAAAAACTCCAGCCCCCTTTTTCTCTCTTCCCACGCCAGTTTACATTTGGGTTGAATCAAATATCACTTGGTTCATGTTCTTGTAAGTAATTGATCTACTATACGTAGCGGAAAACAAAAATTCAATCGGTAAATTAATTACCTTTATTTGCCTAGATTCGAGTATAGATTATACCGTTTACATGTTTATAAACAAAAATATGTATAAAGTAAATCCATTCAAGGATTAAAATACTTACGTACGTTTGGAGAAGTCATTACAATGCAAGCCAATCCTTTCATCATCTATTATCTCATCAAGGCCAAGGCATAGAAGTAGTGTCAACCTCGGAGATCCTTGGTATCTCGATATTCAGTTATTGGACTAACAACCATAATAGATTGAATTGAGCTACAACTCAATCCCATTGTGGCCATAGATTTAATGTCGTTGCCATCTACTAAATTACTCAGTGAGATAATTTCTCCAGTACCCGGAGTGATGAATCCTCTGTTGATCCACCGTAGTCTAGATACACTCCTTGATGTAGCCAATCACTACCATATTGATAGCTCTAAGTAGAACTATGTTGGGCAAGTGTCAAACTACACCAATCGGTGCACCAGGCGCTCCAATGATCTCAAGTCTAAGGATCAAATGCACCACCATTCGTTAGAGGATTTATTCCATAGACACTAGGGTTACCATCCATATGGAATCCTCTGGTGGGTTGGTCCAGTGAACTTGCCTATAGCAAGCACCCATGTGTTGCACCAAGTTGTCACCAAACAGTCTTGACAAGTGAGACTGTCGTTGCCTTTCGACAGAATCATCCAACACTATAATAGCCTTACCGTATTATCTGTGCCCTAGGTTAGGATAATACTGGTGCCATAGACATTTCTAGAATGGCCACCATATGTGCTCATATGGTTCTCACTATCGAGATTTCACTCGATGCCCTCATCATGGTTTTACCATCCTAAGGACATATACCATTTTCTTATACGTGTATAATTAGATCATATGGTATAGATAAAAGCCTTTTATTGATAATAAAACATGATTACAAAGAGTCAATTTACACAATTGGATTGGCTCTAAGGCACCAACTCTAACAAGTTTTGCTTTACCTGCAACCTTTTCACAAGACACTTAAAAGCTTCAAATGCATAATATTTTTCTCTTAAAAAATCAACACATGAGAATCTAGAAAAAGGAGATACAGGTTTGTGAGAGTTCTTAGTTTGCTTACCTTGTTGACAAGGTCCATAAACTTTACCTTTGGGAAACATAAGCTTTAGCAATCCTTTAACGGCACCCTTCTTGGAGAGTTTCACAAGATCTTTGAAATTCATATGTCCAAGTTTCATGTGCCACAGATCAACACAGTCTGATTTAGTGCTCAAACATGAAACTTTGTTAGGCAATAGATATCACTTATCATTTTATCTCTTTCCCTCAAGTAAAGAAGAACTATTAGCATTTAAAACTTGACACATATTCTTTGAGAATTGAACAACACAATCTTTGTCACAAATTTGACTAATGCTAATAAGATTTACTTTCAGACCTTTAACATAAAACACTTCATTTAGCATTGGGAAAACATGAATAATAATAGAACCTTTTCCAAGAATCTTACCCTTTTTCCCATCACAATAGGTAACATGGCCATCTTCCACAAGTTTAAGATTAATTAATAATGCTTTGTTACTTGTCATGTGTCTTAAACATCCATTGTCAAAGTACCACAAGTCATTTTGAAAAGCAAGCAATTAAGTATGTGCAACAAGATAGTTAGCACTAAGCTTAGGTTTCCACACTTTACGATTTTTGAAAAAGTTGTTCTAGTGTGGTGACACGAGAGACTGAAGTGGTGACCTTACTAAATTAAAATCATGATTTTCAATACATCTTTTCAAATACGAAATAAGTTTAAAATGGTTTGGTCTGATATGACCTTTCTTTTGGTAAAAATGACAGATGGGTTTGAATCTTTTTACCATCAATGTCTAATCATGTGGGGCAGTAATAGTTTTTAGAATTGATTCAGTGGCTTTCACAAAGGTGGTCACACCAAGTTTGGAGGTGCTAGCACCAGAAGAGAATCCCAAACCTATATCATCACCAAAGATCTTCCCTTGTCTAAGAACTTCATCAAGCTTATATGAACCTACATCAAACCTTTCAACAATGGCCTTGGCCTCAGTTAGTTCATTTAAAGTTTGATTCAATAAAATTTCCTTATTGGACAAATTAGATAACAAGACTTTCATTTCATTATTCAAAATTTTCTTATTTTCTAACAAGGAAGGTTTTTCATATTCAAGAGATTTAATCCTCTTGATGGCTTTTAACCAAGCCTCATACATCTTGTCATAAGCCTCCTATTGCTCTTTGTAGACATCACTTGAATCATCTGTGGACACACTATCACTGTCCTCTTGGTTAGCCACAAAAGCCAGAAAATGTTCATTCTTATTAGTGTCATCACCCTCACTCTCAGTGTCATCACTTTCACTCAAGGTGGCAGCCAAGGCTTTTCCCTTTTTCTTTAGAGTGTTCGCACACTCAAACTGAATATGGTCATAGCCTTCAGACTCAAAACATTTGATTCCTTTGCTTTTCTTTTAATTTTCTCTCAAAAATCTTTTTGAGAATCCTCCTTGACCAGATTGGTCAGAAATTTTTTTAACAAAGGGTTGTTTCCCCTTTTTAGCCATATTTGGCTTTCTCATGTTCTTTTTCAAGAATTTCAAAAAGTTTTTTGTAATTAAAGCAAACTCATCTTCTTCATTATCACTAGTATCACAAATAAACTAAGAATCAAATGATACCTCATGTCTCAACATAAGTACTTTACCTGATTTCTTTTCCCATCGATTCAAGCTAAGCCCAAAGGTTTGCAGAGATCCAATTAGTTCATCTAGTCGCATCTCGTCAAGGTTTCTTCAACGAAGGTTGCTTTAGACATGAATCTTTGCGGCAAGGAGTACAACACCTTCTGAACAAGTTCTACGTCAGAAAAGATTTTACCTAAAGCAAAACACTTATTAGTGATATCACATAATCTACCATGAAAATTTGTAATGGTTTCATTATCATGCATTACAAGATTTTCATAGTCCATGATTAATCATCTAAGCCTAGTCTTTTTCACAATATCGGTTCCATGATTTCTAATTTGGAGTCTATCCCATGCATCCTTAGCTGTTTTACAATTTGCAATGTTTTTCATTTGACCTATATTGACAACATTAAAAATGGCATGAAGTGCTTTAGAGTTAAAATTAGACTCTTTAAACTCAGCCTTGGTCCATCGATCAAGGGTCTTTCTTTTACTTCCACTAGCTTCATCAGTTTTAGGTTCTCGCCAACCAACCATACAAGAATTCCAAGCCCTCTCATCAATAGATTTCAAAAAAGCACGCATCCTAATGATGCGTGCAAATGCAACACCTAATTTTTCCTCACTAAATTCTAATGCAAAGTCGTGTAGTAACAAAGAGCAAGTAGAGGTCTTTCCCGCAGAGGATTTGTGAACTCAATTAATTATCTACTTCAAACAGGGTTTGTCACAAATTATAAAAACTCAACAAAAACTATCAAACTAAAATCAAACAAAATAAAACAAACAGACAATCACGAAAGAGATAAATAAGAGAAACTAGATTGAAGGTTTATTCGCCACCACTAGACATGAATTATATATAATAAAAGCACTCTTTAACTTTGTACCCTCTTAATCACATCAGCTCAGAAAATACCAAATGTTGATAAGTTCTATCCCTCCTTACTGAGTCATTGGATTAGACATGGTCATAACCCAATTCCCTATTTATTAGATAACCTAGGATACGATCTCTAGATTCAAAGTAATAAAAGCATTAAGTTACGAGAGACCTATTGAATCAAGGCTAAACTCATTTGGTCAGTTTAGTTATCTTGAGTGATAACCCCCCATGTATGAAAGCATACACTTTACCATTAGTTATTTAGGTTAATAAAGCGATTCCATACTAAACAACCTAAATTGGCATTAATAGATTAATCCTAATGATTTAATTGGCCACTTAAACAATTAGAAAAATCTAGTTAGACCCTATTTTCAGAGAAATAATCACATAACCAAGAGGGATCAAAAGATAAAAAGATGCAGATTTTATTAAAAACAAGACATGTCTAGGGTCTTGAAATCACCCTCAATCACAAAAGAATTAGTTCTTCATGA